TATGGACTTTTTGCGTAAAACAGAAAAAAATGAACTTATGATTATGGTTTTGATGATTAGACAGGATAGATTATAGAAATAAGAGAGTCATGTTGTAACAGAGTATACATGGAAATGTATAATTGTATTTGTAACTGCTGTAAAGATTGGAAGCCACTTCTCTGAATCTTTCTTTTCTATTTTTTTCCTTTCTTGCACTTTTAGCTTTTTTTTGTTTTAATTTTCTTACTTTGTTAGTTTGTATTAGTTTTTATCCTCCTTTTAAACACTTTTGATAAAATTATACATATAAATTCTTCTGAATCAAAATTGTTCTAACTTGTGCTCTTGTAGGCTAAAAAACGTTATCTATCATATTTTGAAATTTAGAGCCAAATTTAAATTTCTGTAAGACTTTCTTTTAATGAACATTCCTTCTACACAATCAAAAAACATTCCATATATCCAAAGATCATAAAGGAGTTACATTTCTTTTACAGAAGTGGATTATATTTAATCACTTTCTGATAGGATTAGATATATTCCATTTTAGGAATAAAGCCAGATTGATCTGGTTATATAATTCTAGCTATAATTAATCTGAGATGATTGGCTAGTAATTTTGACTATAATTTATAATTTGTGTTTAATAATGAGATAGAAGTATAATGAAGTACTCTCATACATTTAGAATAAATGTAATTTTAGATTTTTGCAACGAAGCAAGGGGTTTCTCCCCTTGGTATAATAGTTTACATATTTGTAAATGTTCTGTAATTAAGATATCCTTGAATCTTTTATAGAACTCATTGGTAAATCTATCTGGGCCAGGTGATTTCACTGTTAAAATTTTGGAAAGCTGCATTAATTCAGATTCTGGCAATGTTGAGTCTAGGTATTGAATGTGTTGATAAATACCTCCAATTTATCTTAATCCCCTCTGATGTTGGACTTTTGGATGTATATAAAAATCTTACAAATTCAGTATTGATATTGTTAGTCATTATTTGACCTTTAGTCTTATATTGATTTATGAAACACTTTACCCTGGCCATTTTCAGTTTATTAGCTAATAATTACAATATAATCTATCATGTAATTACTCTCACCTCTTTTACTGCTGCCTGTAATATGGAGGTTGCATCATGTTACAATTTTCAGCATCTGCCAGAGATATTTTAATATCCATGTCTTCCTTATCTTTTTTTATGCTAGAGGCATTTTTAGTACTTAAATCCTAGGCCTGACTAGCTGTAACAGCAAAGTCTTTTAACTGTTTATTCTTTCAGAAATAATTGCTAAATCTTCTACTGAAGTAAAGGACTTCTCCCATTCCAACTTCAGGTCCTGTTTAAATTACTTAAATTAATATATTAAATTGTTTAATCCTCTTTGGACCTAGTACTGTTTCACCAATATTAGCCTAATATGATGTTTAGTACTCTTTTGTTCAAAAACATGTAAGACAGAAGGGAATACACAAGCTAGTCAAAATATGACAGTACATTTTTCAACATCCAAATGGGTTACAATCATATGAAGATGGGCTGGCTGCAATTACATAAATATTTATCTTACCTTCTTACAGCTGCTTCAGAATTTTCATTTTTATTTTTTGCTTTTAAAATAGTGATAAAATAGTTGACCAATGCACTTTGACATAAGGGCGTGCTCAGGGATAAAGAAATGAAAAGAAACAAAGAATTCAGTTTTATATAGGACAGCAATCCTGTCTTATACCTAATACTGAAATTTATTCTTGACTGGAAATATTTACAAAATCAAATATTCAAGCTGCAAATACAGATGTAAAAATGCAGTATGTTATTAGAATGTATAATATAAGAAATCAGAATACATTGCAGGTGATGACATTTCTAAAGGAAAAAAACCTGATCTCACAACCAACTCCCAGTAAAAACTTTTACTCAGTTTAATGAAAACCAGTTCCAGGTCAAAGGCAGTGTATTCAAGATTTAAAAAGGAGGATGTTTCTACTGATTTGTGTTACCGAAGAAAAAAGGCTAAAATCAGGAACGGGCAAAAATTTATGTTTTACTAGATGAGGAGGTCATAGGAAAGAACACATAATTTGGTGCATTATACGATGCATTGTTTCCAAGGGCACTGCTAGCAACAATTCTGCCCTGTGTCCCAAAATTGCCCCTCATTGGCCTGCAACACCTTCCACAAAGCACAAGCCAAGAGGTAGAACATTGATGTATCTATGATAAATCCCTGAGCTGGAGTTATCTATATTACTGGATGTTAGCGGGCTCGGGAAAAATTCTTACCTGTGTGACACAAACTGTTGGGCATAAACACAAAACCCAGTTTAAATATGAATACAAGTCAGCCTATTGTCAGCTAGGAAATCTCCCCCTCCCCTTCTGTTGTTCATCAAAACAAACTTTCTTATTATATTGCTCAGGCTGGCTCATGCATCTCAAGTCCATGGAGGGTGGAGGGAGTAGTACAATATGCACCAATGATACAAATGTCTCCATAGGATGTGAACATTTCTAAGCAAAGTCAAGTTGTAGTAAAGGCTATTCACATTATCTGAATGTTCTGATGGCTGGAAAAGGCAGCAGCATTTTAAAGTTAAGAAAACTAGAGCATGAAGTGTTGAAATTATGCTTCCTTGAAATGGAGTTATTTTTAATGTACAGATTGTTACTAGCTGCTGATAGATAAGATTATGGTAGCTGATACAACACCGTTACCATCTACAGGAAATGCAGCATCAATATTATAGAATCTGAAGTCTTAGGAAGTTAAAGAACACGAATAAGTTTTCTGTTGCCTTAGAAAGGATGCTTGGAAAACACCGGGCCTGTCATTCTGCTGCAGTGATGGCAGAAAGAAAAATGAGATCAGCTGGTAGAGAGTTTCATCCAACTCACTGATGAAAAAGGCTAACTTCCACATACAGAATATCCCAGGGCTTAATGAATTGAGATCTCCTGTGTAGGCAGAGAGAGGAGTTGTACAACCTGCATTGTTAAGCGTGTACTTGGAATGTAGGTTGTACTTGGACAAATGTAATAGAAACTTGGAATGCTCTGTGAAAGGCAAGTACACTAACACTCATTCCAGAATACTGTGTTGGTCCAAATATTACTATTTTTTAATACCTACTAGTAAAAAAAATACAGTGACCCTTCCACTTTCTCCTCCCCTCCCCTGTATTTATAGAATCCACGAACATACACTGAAGGGATATAGGAAGTGCATTTCCATCCAGTCCAACTGAGACTTCTGTATTGCTTGGCATTCTACCCAAACACTCCAAGTAGCTGCATATTTCAGATGTTGCCCACAGCAAAGAGGATCAATATAGCTTCCTAAAGATTCAGAACCCGTTGGAGGTTAGCACTTTGCACTTTGTATAAGGCTAAACATCCTTAACAATGTCCCCTAGCAATTGATATTGATCTCTCTCTTATGTGTGTACGTATACGTACATACGTACGTATGTATGGCACAAATGCATCTTTATATAGCACAAGGGTACACAGCATGGATACTGTTGATTTTTCAAACTGGATAGAATATGCTAGAAAGTATACTTTTAACCAAGTTCAGAATCCCAGGAGTTTACAAATCAGTTTTAAAGACAAGGGACTGTGGCAAAATGCATTCAGAATATACTCCAAAGCAAAGCTGCTAGTTGATTTCAGCTGTAATAGTTCTGCTTCAACTGGATGTTGGTAGAGATATTCAGATTTTCAGAACAGGAACTGTGTAGCCACATGAAGAAATCCTTTGTAGGAGATGCAGCAAAGAATTTGATAAAAGGAAATACATGCAGAATGTGCTGGATGGGAATATTCATCTCCAAGTGACACAACTCCAATACTTTCACTGTTGTCCTTATAAATACTGCATTGCTTTCAATACAGTATGGAAACTGTCCACTGGAAGTGATGAATTCACACTAGTCATCTATAGTTGGTAACCAAAAGGCCTGAATAAAGAAGAAAGGATGATGTTAGCAATTTCTATTTAAAAAAAAAAAAATCAAGAAGGGTTGTCTTGAAACAATGCCAAAACCTATCATACATCTTGTGGCAGCCACCTATGCCCTTTATTTAACAGCTATCCAAATGATTATGCAGCAGCTGTGCAGAGACAATCAACAGTTTTGCTCTCCGACTACTAATAGGAAAGCAGCATCAGAAATGTATCCGGAGTTGCCAGCGCTTCCTGCAGGCAAGGCTGTAGATTCTACAGCAGCGAGCAACCAGCAATCATGGCCCTTTAGAAATTCAGCTTTGCCAGGTTTTGACAGAGATCAGTGAACTGAAACACCTACACCTGATACAGTTTTTTCTTTGTCAGATCCTTCACATATTTCTGTGAAGCACTAACTGTCTTTAACACTCTGTCTTTTCTGATAATTTTGCTGTGATACATTAAAATAATGCACCTACACATTTTTCCAGCTGTTACTAGTTCAGTAAGGGAGGGGAATAGCTTGGTGGACAGCTTAGCTTCAAGTAACATTATTAACACAACTCAGATCGAGAGAAAAGACCATTTTAATTTTCTAGCTTATCTTAGAATTCTCTAAGCAGAAGTGTGTAAGACTATATTTAAATATGTATTTGTAAGCAACTTTTTGGAGGGGAAAAGCAGGCTGGAAGAATGTTAAGCATATAGGCTGACTGGGGAATTCTGGCCCGTTGAAGTCCACACATCATAAAGTTGCCAAGGTTGAGAAACGCTGGTCTAATCTGTGTATGACTTTGGGGGGTGCGGGAGGCTTCCTTACAGAAATAACATATTCATCTATGATAGTGAGCTAATTGGAGCTACAGTGTTACTTCTTTTTTAAATCCAAGAAACAGCTTTTCGGCAAAATTTGTAGATGAAGGTAGGCAGTGTGATATCCATGGGCACCAATTAGTCACTTGTCTGGCCTGTGACACATCCCCTGCTCCACACCATAAGATGTTTTATTGGCAGTAATGACTCCAACCTGCACATATGCCTAATAGAAATTTTCAGAAAATAAAATGACTGCAGCCTAGTACTTTGTCTGAAAATGTTTCTGTCTGGCTAGAAAAAAGAAAAAGGATATTAAGTGACAATATGGGCTGCCAAAAATTAGATGGTGAATAGATGGTAGCCTGAGTTTTCTATGTTTTTCTGCTACTATCTCATGATTGTCCAGACATTTATACCCCATGGAATTATAAGCTTGGATGTGACATTAGAGGTCATTTAGTCCAACCCGGCCAGTGTGGATCTGCTAGATGTCCTCTGACAGATGACCTTCAAGCTCTGTACCAAAGACTTCCAGCAAAGGAGAACTCACCATATCATGTGTCAGCCTGTTCCACTGGCTAACAACTTGTGGAGTCAGTAGCTCTTCCTGCCACTTAGCTTACACCTACAATACTTTCTCTTAGTTTTAACCTGTTGATTCTGCTCCTTCCTTCTGGGACAACAGAGACTAAGCCCATTCCTTCTTCGGCATTACTTCAGATATTTGAAGATTACTATCCTGTCTCTAGACAGATGCAATGTGCTCTACATGGGGCTACCCTTGAAGAGTATCTGGAAGCTACAGCTGGTCCAGAATGCAGCCGCACGGGCTATTTTGGGAGCCCCAAGAAGGGCCCATGTAATGCCGTTGCTCTGCAAGCTCCACTGGGTACCAGGTTGCTTCTGGGTCCAATTCAAGGTGTTGGTTATCACCTTTAAAGCCCTACATGGCA